ACTGCTCATTATATCATCTTCTTTAGAAGGCAACCATTAGGATAGGAATTTAAAAACAGTGATTATTCTACTTTGCCACTGAGTATTACTTGTTTGCAGAACTGTAGAATTATGAATAGCTATTGTAATTATAGGAAATTCTAGTTATTACAAGTCTTTTTTCACTTGATGGTTTAGTATTTTTCACTTCCTCCCAAGAGTTAGGTACTTTTAAGTTGTTACATGCAAGCTAGCAAACCAACTTAGAAGTTTACCACTGTCTATTGTCTAAGAAAAGGTTGCTGGACCAGATGTGTAAAATGTTTAAATATTTTGCATATGTCTTTATTATACAGAAGGAATTCACAGGTGTTGGATGTCACCCTGTGCAGCTGAGTTCATGAAAAAATCAGGATTGCTCCAAATGCTTCATGAAGCTTTTTAAGTGATGCTAAATAAAACTATGTGAAAGGATAATAGTGCTTCAAGAACTCATAATTTCTGAGCTGCTACCTAATTTTTGTGTACTTCATACCACATGTTTGCTGATGCTAAACAGAGCTAAGCTATACAGAATTTAAGTCTTAATAGAAAATTCAACCAAAAATTTTTGTCTTTGGGGTTTCTAGGATTATTACAGAGGAATCAGGCCGTCAAGGAARGATTCAAGACAGCCTTTCCTGCGGCTAAATGCCTGGCACCAGGCATGGTTTATTCCCAGCTGAATGACTCACTGTCTTACAGCCAAGTCCAAAAGGGATGATCAGGGAATGCAAACCCCCTGCTTGAATATTCCTCAAATGTGCACTCGCGTGACCCCAGGGCAACCCAAGGAAGGCAGGCTGCTCACCTGGCACCATCTCTCACTTTCACCCACAGCAGCGGCCGCCTCGGGGCGCAGGATCTACCCCTCATCTCCGCTCCGTACCGCTAGGTACCCGGGCCCGGGGACGCCCCCAGGTCCCTGGTCCCCCAGCACTGCCCGTGTGGCTGTGCTCCTGCCCCACGAACAAGGGCACAGCACCCAGCTCCTCGGCAAGGCCTTGCTGAGCTGCACAGACCCCCGGCCTAGGCCCACGCCAAGTCTCCGAGCATGAGAACACAACAGCCGATTAGCTGTACGGACTGCTGTATAGCAATGTTTATATTCATTAAACAGCTTATTAATATTGTTGTTCCTACTGCAACAACACTATGTTCCACTTAGGTGGAGAGCTTAGGATGTAGGAGCATTTTGCAACGAGCCTCACAATATCTGGTCAGAGAGGTACAGGACGTGGCTTCTACTGCACAGAGTAGCAGCTACGAGATCCACTGACTAGATCCTTCACCACCTGAAGAGATACGGTCAAGGACCTTGRCTGGCAGCAAAAGGCCAAGAAATAAGGTGTGGGACTCCTGTTTCTTGTTCCTCACGTTTAGTTGCTGGATTCCCATGTGTGGTATTAAATCATTCATCGTTTTTCACAGGGAAGACAGATAGTCGCAAGAAAAGCTGTGTGTATGAAAAAGGGTTATCAAAGTATTCACACACTATTTCACAAGAGTTAGCTAACTGACAAAAGTACACTGCTGTAACATATTCCCATATATATATATATATAAATATAAATATATAGCAATACTTCTCCCCTACAACACGTTGCTGGAATCCTACATGGGGAACACTGAACTCTGCTCAGTATAATGTAAAAGACAGGCCTCATTAACTCCTGGACATCTTCTCATTTCTTGGTCATAAATCCTATTACCTTGTATTACAAACTGCCATAAAACTCACAAATAAAAGATAATTTATGCTCGGTGTACAGAAGGTAATGTTTCTGTACTCCTGAGAAGCACAGCACCAGAAAATGAGAAGTTATGTATGTGAAACCTTAAGCCATTCATATGGAGCATGGCTAGCATGATAAACATGGCTCGAAGGGCCTAGGGCTCTTCAGCCACGGTATGTCCTAATGGTAATTGGTATTAGCAAAATATCAGGCATAAAATGTAAAGACTCTTACATGAAACATCTTGCTTATAAAGACTGATTACTTCTTTTTAATAACAATAATAATATAAAAAACTTAAATAATCACATCAGAAAATGCTTCAGCGCAAGCATCATGTCCTGGAGTTCTTAGGCAGTCTCCCTATTCTAACTGGTGCAGCATGACACACACAAACCATTCCTAACCACRCTGGGAGTTGGCAAAACCAAATGCAGCTTCATCTCTTGCCTGCTTTTGCTCTGAAGCAATTTACACTCTTAAGACACTGCCTTTGATGTTCACTATATTGGTTACCTGCTGAAAGGAGTATCTTGCTTTAGTGAAGACAAAGCAGAAGATGCATTTAGCTTGTTTGTCATTAGTTTTCCCTTCTCATCCAGAAGAAAAAAAAAAGTTTTGCTGTCATCTTACAAGTCCTGTAGATTCAGACTTTAGGCCTTTTTTTTTTTTTTTTTTTTTTTTTTAAAATACTCATTTGGTTATTTGACCTACAGTGGAATCTACATCTCTCAATTTAGATTTTTAGATTTAGATTAGATTTAATTTAGGTCAAGCCAGGCCTGACTGGCTCTTCTCCCTTGTAGCCTTAGAAGGTCTGCTATGGGATTACCAGGTTCGTTGCTCCATCCAAGTATCTTAGTCTCTGCCTAGGTACACCTGATACAGAACGGTCTCTGCTATAGTAAACAGAGGTGTAATTTTGCTTTGAAATGAAAATACGCTTACATTTTGCTCATATATTTTATCC